TCGGACCCCAGGACCAACCCACTGGGGGCAGCTGACAGGGACTGCAGGGATGGGGACAGAGCTCTGCAGCCGCTGTCACGGTGTCCACGAGGGATGTGCCCAGGGCTGCAGCTGGGCAGAGCTCCTGGGCAGCCCCAGGCCCTCACACATCCCTGCTTCCTCCGATGGCACTGCTGTCCCATGGTGAGGCTCCTGGTGTCCCTCTGCCCATCCTTGGGACTGAGCAAGTTCCCAATCAGCACTGGGTTGCCATCAGACTGGTCACCACCAGCACTGGTCACCACCAGCACTGGGTCACCGTCAGCATTGGGTCACCGTCAGCACCTCTCACTGCCAGCATCACCCCTGGGCTGCCTCACGGGGCCAGCTCACTGCACAAAGGAGTTACGTGGATCACAAACAGGCAGCAAGGCAGGAATAAATTAATGGCTGGAATGGGAGTGTGCTGAAATCCTTTTTTTTCCCCTTTTTTTCCTTTTTTTTTTTTTTTTCTGTTAAAGTACACAGAAAAGCCCCTTCCGTATTTTAATTAAAAGCCTTTCAGGAGAGGAGGCAAGGGGCTGCCATTTACAACGGGCTATTGTCAGGCACACAAAGCAAACGAGGCTGGAGACAAACTGATTTATTAACCTGCATCTCACAGCGTTCCCCGGGGGGGGTGAGCCCTCTGTGGAGGGGGTGGCAGCTCTGGGGTCCCCCTGGGGTGCTGCAGGGCCATGGGGCAGCCCCCAGGGGACACAGGGGACACAGGGGACTCGGCTGGTTTGTGCCACCCTGCAGCTCCCCGTCCCTCCAAGGTGCAGCCCCTCTCCTCTTCCTCACTGCTCCCATTGATTTATTAATGATTTGACCAAACAGGGACATTCCTCCAAAGCCCACAATTTAATTTGCTCACCAAAGATGCCAGGTTAGTTTTATTCCTGATTTATGAGCAGGCCCCTGCGTTCCCTGGGCAGCAGAGCAGGGCAGTGATTTATGGGGGTGAGATCAGCTTTGTGGATGCAGGGAAAGGATCCCTGTCCTGGTGGTGTCCAACAGCAGATCCCAGGAGCTGCAGGAGGCAATGTTTGCTGCAGGACCATAAGAAACATTTGCCCCTTTTCAAGCCAGCTCTGAGGCAGGGAAAATGCTGGTGTAGGGTACAGAGGAAAATCCAGGCTCTCTCTCACACAAACTGCCTCCACTCCTGCAAATCTTTCTTTGAACTTTGATTTTCTGTTCACTTGCTCTTCTGCCTGAGGCGCTTTGCAATCGTAGGATTGTGAGCTGCTCTGAGTTTCTCTGAGTGGAAGAGATGAGAAGAACCAGATCATTTCCTGGCTGTTTGTGCTGCAGTGTGGGGCCAAGGTCACTTTGTGGGTCTGCCTCACCCTTTTGGACAACTTCCCACACCTGTCCCTGTGAGAATTTGGAAGCAGCTGCAGGGCAGGGTGTGGTTTGAAGAGTGTCCCTTTTCTTCGGTGTCTTCTGAACTCAAACTCTGCTTTTTGGAATCCCAAGGGCCCAGCAGCAGGGTGATACCTGGGCAGTGGGGGGCTGCTTCCTCCCCAGCTTTGTGCAGAGAGAGGCTCCAGCAGTGCAAGATTTGCTGCAGTAAGGAGAGTGAAGGGTTACACTGACCACTGCAGGAGCCCTGGTGTGTTTGCTGGTGTCCATGCTGCCCCATCTCCTTCCAGTCCTTCTGGGAGCACAGGGATCCTCCTCAGCCCAGAGGAGACACTGCTGCATGCTTGGTTTTATAAAACAAGTCTATAAATTAAGACAGTATAAAGTCATAACAGCTCAGACGATTTATTAGACAATATGGAGAAAAGACAGATTTACATGGCTTGATACAAACAAAACACAACTCCAGCTCCGGAGCCGTGAAAAGCAGCCTGGTCATTTAGTCCAGCTGACTTTGGGAATGTCGTGGTGCTCAGTCAGAGTATCCAAGTGCCTGTTGAACTCCTCCACTCGCTGCTTGTGGGGTTTTGATGCTTTCTTCAGGATCCGCTCCCTTTGCCGCTTTTCCTGCACCTTCTCTAAGGCCGCCTGTGCTGGGGTCTGCTTGCCCAGCCCGCGCTTCTCCTCCTGCTCCTTCTTGCTGCTCATGATCTGCTCCAGCAGGATCTGGGCCTTTTTTGCCTTCTTCTTCTTCCTTTTGCTGGCTCCCAGGGTTGTGCCACTGCCCTTGAGCCGCAGAGGAGCACACTGTGCCGCCTTGTAACCTGCCATGGAGTCACAAAAACCGCCTGCAAACACAGAGCCCTCCAGCTGGGGCTGCAGCCTTCCCTCCACACTGGGAAATAACCCACACCTTCCAGGCATTCCTCCAGGGATCCCTCTGGGGTCCCCCTGGCAGTCTGGGGTATGCTCACCCCTCCCTGAGACTTTGGTTGGAAGGATGGAAGGCAGCCCTCCATCCGGAATTGGGAGGCTGCTGATCCCACCCTCCTGCCTTCAAGCCGACCAGAAAGCGACAAAGAAGTCTGAGGAAGCTGAAAGTCCCAAAAGTTAACATAAGTCACGTGGGAATTACTGTGTGCTGCTTCGGACCATTGTGGGATATGAACATGTGGGGGCCAACTCCGTGTCTGGATGGGCTGTTCAGGTCCAACCCGGCTGGCTGTGGATCCGAGTCCACACGATCTCAAATGGACAAAGGTAAAAGAGCAGAATTCTCTTCTCCACGTGGGAACAACGCCCCGCGTTTATTCCCGAGGCGGGAAAGAGCGCGATGCCTGATGGCGGGAAACTTTTAACCCGGGGGAACGGAGGGAGGGGCTAGAGGAGCTCAGCCAATGGGATAGCAGGAAGGCGGGGCGAGGGGCGGGGCCAGACAGGGAGAGACCACCACGCTGACAATTGCGGGGGGGTAAAGGGGAAGACCATGTGGCGATAGGCTACAAATCATGTGAACAGCGCAAATTACCGAGCACCCAGCGCAAACAACTGATTAACTATTTAGTGCAATACAACAGAGGGGCAGCTCCGTGCTTGTCTGCTCAAAACTGAGCCGTGGCCGCTGGGGCTGGGGTCCCTCCAGCACAAAAGTGGCACAGCTCCGCTGGGAGGCTTCCCCAGGGATTTGGGAATTTATTCTCCAAGCCCCTTGGATATGGCCGGTACAACAGGCAGTGGGGCAAAGTGGTGTGGAAAATGTAAAGTTGTGGCGTCTTGGGTTTTATTTGTGGAGAAGCAGAGAGGGAATTTCTAGGACAGGTGTTGTGAGTGCTCAGACGCTGCTGGCTGGGCTCTGTTCCTCTGCTGAAGTTGGTTGGATTCTTCAGAGCCATTGAGAATAAAAAAATAAAAATACAGCCCTAAACCACCCCGGATTCGGTGTATTTGTGAATTTGGGGATTTCCGGCTGCGGAACGCTGGGAGCGTGTTTGCTGTAGCCATTCCCAGCAGGTCAAAGGTACGGGAAGGGTCAGATTGGGCGGATAAAAACCAAACAAACCTGGAAAAGTTTAACCGGCGGCTCCCGCCTGGCGATTTTTCCAGCTAAAAACCTTTAATTTAGCCTGGAAAAAAATCCATCACCGGGGGGACCGAGACTGAGACCCTCGGGGGGTGTCCGGGAGCGGCGGGGGCGATGCTCG